TTGGCCACGTAGTGCGCCTTGAAGGCAAGCGACTCTTTAGGTGGCCGCTTCAACTTGAAGATACACATGCCATCCACTACGTTCGCCTCAAGAGGTAGAACAGCGTCAAAGTATGTATGAATGGACCTCCAAGATGTCATCTCTGTGTCCATGTCTACTCTCGACTCTTAGGGTATCGATACTGCCTTAGTGCATGTGTGAGGGGTCATGATGTCAAGAGCGTCTGGGTCACCCTCGAGGGCCAACACCATTGCGCAGACATGAGGAGCAGTAGCCATAAAGAAAGGCAGCTCGTACTGTCTACCCTCTAGGACGTCACGCCCAGGGGCAGAAGCACCCCCGACGGACGGAGGACGACAAGGGGCAGAGACGAACTAACTGGTGTATTCAAGGCGGTGGGTGGAGGCAAAGTCAACGAAAAGAACAGAGACAGATGGAGGAGCAGTAAGGTCAGTAACAAGGGTGGAACGGGCACGGGAGACCATAGGGCAAGTGGCACGGAGGAAGTCAGAGAACGGAGGAGGGGAGATAGGAAGGGATGATAGAGGAAGTGTCGCGTGGACAGAGGGTGGTAGAACACGTGAGGGATGAGAACATAGGAGCATAGATTGGATAGCGGGAAGGGGAGACACGGGGCGAGCACGAGAGGGACGACAACCCTAGTAGTGGGAGTCATGATTCAGGTTAGAAGACAGAGGAGAAGACAACTGTGAACAAGGAGGAAGACAAGCTGGAGATGAGGCCGGGGAGGAAATGTGGGACTGTAGACTAGGAGAGATGGTGAGAGCAGGTGGTCGGTTAGGTGAGGGGTAAAAAAAAACAAGATGGCGAAGTGCAGACGCCTGGTGGCAACGACCGCTGCTGCTGTGGCAACAACTGATGTGGCACTGCTAGTGCAAATACCTCTTGCGTCATCACCCCGGGAACCAGCACCCACAACGTCAGCACCCCCGCAACTAGCACCCCCAGAACCAGCACCACCAGAGCCGACACCTACAACGGCAGCACCCCCAGAACCAACACGCCCAGTTACAACACCCCCAGAGTCCACAACGACCAACTGCACCGGTGACGACGACTGCGGTTGCAATTAATGCTGTTGTGGCGACTAGGAGAATGACGCCAGCGACGGCAGAGACTGCGTCAACGACTGCGGCGGGGGTGGGAGACGGGGGGAAGGCGGCGAAGGGGCCAACACAGGAGGGGCAACACCACCTATCGGGCCTCGAAAGTCAGCAGACTCCCCCACAGGCCCAACCGAACGGAGGGGTGGGAGGGGTGTTACGTGCGACACACTGGACGTGGGGGGCAAAGGAGCTAGCGGAGGAGGGCGCAGGTGTGAGGATCTGGTTTAGGAAAGAGAAATCTATTGAATGATTCACCTGGGTACAAGGCGAGGCTATATATAGGCTCGACACAAGGCAAGTAACCCAGGTGTTACGCGAATTTTCTGAGGGTCGTGAAGCGTCCCGAACAGAACCTTCCCGAACTCGGTAGAAAGCAATTCAGTGGGATCCGAAAAGGCTTGAGTTCGGTACACATAACTTGGTTCGGTGCTATAACTATAATAATATATAGGAATGCACCTAACCTAGGAAATCAAACATATCTATGCATGATAAATAAAACCTAAGCTAATAATAGCATAATAAAGTCCAGGCAAGCTAGCAAAGCCAGCATAAGCCGTCGTACTCTCACAGGGGGGGTGGGGGGTAGTGGGAGTGAGAAAGAGGGGAGCGGGTGGAGCTCGGGTACTTCGGTGAGAAAGCGAGTGCAGAAGCAAACAGACTTGTCCAATGTGATGCCACGAGAGCAATGGAAACGGTGAGACGATCGGTGTTACAACAACCAGTCGGGTTCATTAAGGGGGGAAACTATAGCAAAAACACTGGAGAGTGCATGCTTAGAGCCTTTCCGCGCAAGGGCCGCGGATGCACAAAAGGCATCTGCAGACGCAACAACAGGGGGCTCGGTCCAAAGCAGGGTTGCCGAAACCGGCGGTCGTGAGACACGAGGCTACATGTTAAGCTAGTGCGCGGCGTAGCAAACTTCAAACGGCCATAAAAAAAAAATGGGGGCACTTGCATGAATCATGGAGGTACGAGCGGTCTCCATGACCAAGCCTACGCGACGCTCAGCTACCCCATTCTGTTGTGGTGAGTACTAGAGCAAGTACGTTTGAGTGATGCCTTCCGCACGATAGAACTGGTCAAGGCGACCAGAGGCAAACTCGTTACCATGGTCGGGGTACACAGCACAGCTTGGGAACGCTAGGTGCGGACAGCTACTAGCTACGGGAGGAGAACGGCTGGCACCTCGACCTTCTTGTCCAAGTGAAACATCATGGTGTAGTGGGAGTTGTTGTCCTTACTTAACATTAATAAGTTTTTGCTGCTTAGGAACGGGGGCAGGGCCCCAGACGTCCGTATGCAAGGTCTGGAGAGGCACAGTGGTAGGAGGAAACGAGGAGGGGTGAGGTGCGGCGCGCAGCCTGCCCTTGACGCAAGTGGTGCACGAAGGCGCAGACGAAGGAGGGACGACGTGAGACCAGAGACAAGTCCGTGCTGAGCCATGTGATGGATATATAGAAAGGTGGGATGACCTAGACGGTGGTGCCACAGGAGTGTGGGTGAGTGAGGGACTGGACAAGCATGACGGAGCTACCAGTCTAGGCGTAGGAACCTGGGTGGACGTAGCGTGCAGTTTTTCTGTGTGTATGTGTGTGTGTGTGTGTGTGTGTGTGTGTTTTTTTTTTTTTTTTTTTTTTTATGCAGGGTTCTCGGGGTAGGTGGCCCAGTGGTAGTGTCTGTATAGGTTGCAAACCGCTCGTGTACAGGAAACGTGGTGGTTGCAATGAGGTTCGGAAGACGACCGACACCAGCTAGAGGGGAATTGTCGGACGTAGGAGTGCAGTAGCGCTGCGTGCGACAACCGATCCAGAGGAGGGCATCGGTCGGGGAGAATGCGACAGGAGCTGGAAGTGACGAGGGGGTATTACGTTCACGGAAGAAGCATTGGGACGCGCCAGAGTTAGAGAGGAGAGGAACGCACTGCTGTCAAACCCGCTACTGCGACCATCGCTCCCTAGGCCAGCAGGTCCCCACTGCTGTTGGGAGACCCACTGCTGTTGCTGCTGCTTCTTCTGGGTCACCTTCGCACCCCCAGTACCAGCACCTCATGCGGTTGCACCCCCAGAACCAGCCCTCCCAGCGACAGCACCTCCCGTCGTACCAGTACCTCCACCTCCTCCACGACCACGACCATCCCTACACCGTCCCTGCCTACCAGAGGATGTAGAGATGGCTGCGACCTCGGCCATGACAGAAAGCTCAGCAACAGCATCAGGGGCAGCTAAGCTAAGGAGCTGGGGCGGAGCGCAACCACCAAAGGCGATGGTGCGAACTTCAATCTCATTCATGCTTTACCATGCTTTATTTTTGTTCCTTTCCACGTGGTCAGGAATCATGCCTGCGGAATATACACAGAAATGGTGATACCATGAAACCCAGAAACTGATAGCTGTCAAAGATGGTGCTATAATTTTGTTTGGTTTATTCCAAATGTTTATTATATGATGTTCTATACCTGGATTATTTCTGTCTCTTAACCAATCACCAATAATGGAAACTGCAATCCAGCGTGTGTGCTGCCGTTTGCTGTGCTGTGCTGCCTCTTGCACTTGCACACCAACACCAACCAAAGACAGAACTGTACGAAACCACCTCACTGTACAGTGCTTGTGTGACGAGGTTTCTGGTTGGGGGAACGGTCAGCAGCAGCAGCAGCAGCAGCATCCCATACCATCCCAGAGAGAGGTGTGGTCGTTGTATTGCCTCTCAGTCACACCTCCATCGCACGGTCAGTTTTCATGCAGAATTGTATTGCGGTTGGTACGAGCTGACAGTGCCGAGCAACAGTGCAGCAGGAAGAAACGATACGCCACGCGCTCGGACCCACCGAACCATTCGTGTCCGTGTGGCGCTGTCTGCACCACAAGGAACAAATGCGTTTCATGACGTGGTGGCTCGTGGTTTGGGAGGGCAATAGTATCTAATCGCAAACCGCGTAGAACCGCTCTGCATGTACTACATCTGCTTACGAATGGCTGTTTTGAAAGTTGTCCGAGATCCTACGTGTCATCAGTGCAGGCACGCCGTAGTTCCAGCCCGTCTCTGGCTGCGTTACAGTACGGTTCGGTGCGAAGACCACTCGCAGTCGCAGGTCATCCTGAACGGTTTCGTGAACGGTGGTGGTGGCATGGCGGAGTTCGTGAACTGTTTCGTGAACGTCAAAGTAGCCAGTCTCACACCGAGGTCCGGCAAATGAAGCTGTCGCATGAGTGAGTGCGACATTTCGCTGAAGGGCATCAGTCTTCACGACCCTAAATGTGGGAGCCTGCGACAAAACGAAGCAGAGACTGATTGTTTGAATTGGCGAAGACCAGAAGCAGAAGAAGCTTCAAGTACGGACAGAACGGAACGGAAGCCGTGTGAGACGGACAACATGACAGCCATTGGCTCTCATCAGTCTGCTAGAAGGGAACTTGTCGCTGAAATGACGGAGGCTCCATGAGAGTGGGCTTTTCTGAGCAAGGCATTCTCTTGAACTGAGAGCCAATGAGAAAGTACGGATTTGATTCTAGGATTCGTTTCTATAGAAATAATTATGTTCGCGCTATTTGATCGCCTCGTCGCTGCTCAGGTCGGCTTCTATTGCGAGAGTGCGAGGAACGCACAGGTAGACGTTTCGAGTCGGCCATGGCAAATACGGACAGAGCACTGTCGCAACTAAATAACTTCCGCCTACCATTCTCAATACATTAGCCTCAAATACTGTTCGCGACTCGGTGATTAAACGCGACTCCGTTCGATAGTTACTCCTGACCGCATAATCTAATAGGCATTATACACCACTAACTCGCTTCAACATATATCATGGAATCCTACACGGAGAAGCGGCACGCGTACAGACGGCGGTACCTGCCTTGGTATTGCCGACCGATGCGGCTAAGCGAGGAGGACCTTGAGCTTGGGGAAATGGAGGAGGAGGAGAGGGAGGAGGAGGAGCGGCGGCGGCACGAGGAGAATCTACAGATGATCATGGCCGCGAAACCCGTCAAATGGACCACATACGCGATATTGGTCCGTTCCGTTTCCTGTCCACGTGGTCCCGCAGAGCTGTCGCATGATCATGATACCTAGTAACGCTAAACGAAATGGCAACGCTTTAATCGATCGTGAGCATTCGGTCTTCACTCTCAGCCTCTTGCCACTCTTGTGTCACCTGTCGCCATGCACAGCCCCTTCGTCTGGTGATTAGCTCAGTCGGCTTGAGAGCTCCTAGAAATTACATTATATTTTGGTGATTCAGAAAAAACACGGGCACGAGACCTTGGTCAGTCAGTCGAGTTCTGTGCCACGTCAGGTACCTGTCGCGCCGTGGTTCGAGACTGAGCCTGTCGTACTTGGGGCCGTCGTAGCAGTCGCCCTTAGTCCGCAATGGGTCCAAGCAGTGACGGGATGACATGGCATGGCATGGCGTCGCGTATAGCCATTGTAGTGGCAAACAGCGAGATTGTCGTCATTTTCGACAAGTGGCAACGCGGCTCACCAGCGATTCACAGCATGGCTGCGTATCGGGCTTGGCGGAACAGGCAGCACAGCATTTCGCACCTCATAGTTTGCCCGTGAGGGATGCGTGGAAGGGGCATTCAGCAGCGCTGCGAAAAGCTGTGCGGCCACGTGGCTCCTTAGTTTCTAGGGTTTCACAAAAGCGCGAATCGTTTAGAATGCTCCGAGTTCAACCTTTAAAGGGGGATAATTCCAACTGTTCGCATCCTCATCCTCCCTACTCCACCCCCTCCCCCCTCACCCTTGCGACCCCTTGCACGCATTCAATCCGTCCGCATTACAGGCTGTAGCGTTTTCCGCGCTGGTGCTACTGGCGGTGCTGTGCTGGGCGTTCATTTCCGCCATGCAGCCCCCCGCGCACTCCCTCCCCCTCCACCTGCGCGCGCAACGCCTAGACGCCGCCGCGCTCGCCGTCCTTGCCATCCAACAGGTAAGTCTGCACAGTTTGCATCGTAGCCTGGAACCTCGGTAGCCGCTCTCCCACTCCCTCCCCTTCCGCCTGCGCACTTAACGCCTCACCGTTCTCTCCATCCAACAGGTGACAAGACAAAACCATAAGGTCACTTGCCTAACTTTCTTGGTATTCCTCCTTTAGAATCCTTGCTCTGTGCTCTCAACCTGTTCGTTGCCCTAATTGGGTTGGGATCCCTCCTATGCCCCTCTGCTACTCCATCCATCCCCTCGTCCCTGTGTGCCTTCATTTCCTCCCTTTCCCCCTTTCCCCCGTTTCCCCCCCTCCCCCCTTTTTCCCCCTTCCACCCCTTCTCCTCTTCCCCCCCTCCCCACCTCCCCCCCCTTCCCCCATTCCCCCAGAGGCTGCAATACGCAGCAGTGGCGCAGGCCTTGGCGCTGACGTCGGCTCTCAACTCCATGGCCAGAAGCAATGTCAGCACTGGTAGACAGAGCAGCAGCAACAACCTAACAAGTCTTTTAGCACATTCCCAGGAGGTGCGATTTTGATTTGTTTGTGCCATTAACTTTTCTGTGGACGATCTTTTTGCTCAGAACCCGAATTTCCTCCACACAGCACAACCCCTTTGAAGCCAGCCCTCCTTCTTCGCTCCTCCCCTCCCCCCCCCTCCCAACACTCACCTTTCCTGTTCTCCACACACACACATTCCCCCATAATCCACACTCCTTCCAACCAAGTGCCCCTCTTCCTCTCTCCCCATCCCCTCCCCTCCCCCTCCCCCCCTTACCACCGCAGGCCCTGCTAGCCACGTCCGTCCCCTTCATTCGGCCCGACCTAAGTTGCGGAAGACGCCAGGACCGTCCTGCGTCTAGCGTCTAGACGCAGCGTCTAGCGTCCTGCGTCTAGACGCCAGCGTCTAAGACGCCAGACACGTCTTCCTCAACTTAGGGCCCGACCCATCAATCCACATCACTGCATTCGTTGCCCCAGACGGCTCCCTCACTGGGTACCTGCGCCCCTCTCAAGGACCCTTTTGAGTTGAGCCACAACTCCCCATGCCCTTCCCCCTCCCTCCCCTCAACCCTCTTTTCCCACCGCAGGCCCTGCTAGCCACGTCCTTCCCCTTCATTCGGCCCGACCCATCTCTCCACATCACTGCATTCGTTGCCCCGGATGGCTCTCTCACAGGCTACCTGCGCCCTTCCCAAGCACCCTTTTACAGTAGCATCAGCGGCAGCAGCAGCAATAGTGATAGAGGTAGAAGCAGCAGCACGGGCAGTGGTGTGAACAGCAGCAACAGCCTCGTTGCTGCTCCTCTGTACCGAATCCGATCCCCACTCAACCTGCCCGTCGCTCCTCCAGATGCTGCTGTGGGAACCAGCCCAGGCCTTGGGGCGGAACGGAGCTTGGGAAGCAGCAGCAACAGCAACCGGCCAGCTGTGACCGTCTCTGACTCCAAACTCTCTCAAACCAACGCCCCACCTGATGTTCCTTCCAGACAGCTTCTGAGACGCCCCGAAAGTCAGAGCATGGGAAGCAGCAACGGGCTGACGGAGACTGTTTCTGACCCCACACTGGCTGACTTCCGTGCCCTGCCTGAGACTCCTTCGAGACGGCTAGCTGTCTCGGCTGCCGTCTCCACCGCACCCCACCATTCTGAGTTTCACAGACCACGTGGGGCAAGAAAGGCTGGTGGTAGTAGGCTATCAGGCAATGGTGGTGCAGCAGTGCCCGCTGGTGCTGCAGCAGAGCAGACAAGTGCTGCATTGCGTTTTGAGTCGACTCAAAAGGTTGGTGGTGGTATTAGGGTATCAGGCAATGGTGGCGCAGCAGTATCCGTTGGTGCTGCAGCAGAGCAGACAAGTGCTGCATTGCCTGCTGCTGCTGCTGCTGCCGCCGCTGCTGCTGCTGCCTCCACCCAGAGCAAAGGCATCGTCCGCAGCAGCCATAGCAGCAGCTCCAGCACCGTCCCAGGCTCGGGCCCAGCCTCAGTGTCAGCCTCGGCAGCAGCAGTGACAGCAGCAGCAGCAGACGCTGTCCCACCGTCTCCTTGCACACTTTTACCTTACATTCTAGAGGGGACTTTTCTAAACGGGTCATTAGTGAATCAGTCTGCAGGGAGTACGGCCATGCTACCTGACCTGCGCACTGTACCGGGTTACAGTGCCTCCCTCTCGTTACAATCAGGCTCCTTTATAGACACATTCAATACAGCTCTCCCTGCTCATTGCCCGCCCTCAGATAAAGCTCTCCTTCCTGATTGGCCTTTGGCCTTTTTAGCAGCGCTTTCTCCCGTTTTTTTGGTTGATACTGCCAGCTCAGCAAGCGCCACGTCAGTTGGCGCTAGCCTGGCAGCTGTCTCCCTTGCTGACGTGGCAGCAGCTTGGGCTGGCATCAGCATCAATAGTGGCAGCAGGCCAGCCAGTCAAGAAGAAACCGAGAAGCTTCCTTCGCGTCTGCTGCTCGTTTCAGCCACTGGAGGGCTTTTGCTGTCCTCTTCTGGCGCAGTGGGCGGCTCAGTAGCACCCAATGATGTCATCGTGATGTCATCAATGTCTGCGTTAGGGTTAGGCAAGCCTGCTGAGTCAGCAGTGCCGGTGGTGGAAGCATCTCCGGTGAACACGTCTGCAGCAGCGTTAGGGAGTGTAATGAGATCGCTACAGACAAATATCGCCGGCCAGGAGTACTACGTTGACTCTCTTCCTCTTGTCTTCAGCACTGCTGCCAATTACGTGAGTCCACCACATGCCCTGGAGCTCTCTCCCTCCCCCACCTCCCCCAAAATCCGTTTTCACGTGCTTCTGCTCTCTCTCGCCACTCCCCTCTCTCTCCCGTTACATCTAAACTGGCGTGTACATCTCGCGTCCCTCTCACCCTCCCCTCCTCCACTCGCCTCCTCCGCTCTTCCCTTGCAGACCATCGTGTATGCATCGCATCAGCAGTAACCCTGTATGAGACACCGTCACCAACCTCCACCAGTGTCTCATCCCCCACCCCTCCCCACCCTTCCCCATCCATCCCCATCCCGCCCCATCCCTCCCCTCCTTCCCGGCAGACCATCGTGTATGCATCAGCGGTGGCCCTGTACGAAACACCACCCCCAGCCTCCACGAGAATCGCCTCTCTTGTGCTGCTGCTGCTCTCCCTCGCTGCTCTGCTTGCCTGTGCTCTGCTCCTCGTCTTGGCCGTTCGCAAGCGCAGCGGCAACGTGTCTTTCCTGCAGGTTGGTGTCTAGATAGATAGGTGTGAATAGGGGTGCAGTGGGATGAAGGTCAGGCATCTCTGCTGCTCTCCATCGTTGCTCTCCTCGCCTGTGCGCTGCTGCTCATCTCGGCTGTACGCAAGCGCAGCGGCAATGTGGCCTTCCTGCAGGTTGGCATCTGGGGCAAGGGTAAAAAAAGGGGTGAAGTGAGGTTTGAAAAGGTGGAGCATGGGGCGAATGAAGGTCAGAGGAACGGGTGCGAGGTCCAATGCAGAGGGAGGGAGAGGGGGCGGTGGGTTAGCATCCACATCTGGCCTCTGGCCCTGTTTTTATTTTTATTTTAGTTATTTTTTATTTTCTTTCCATTCTTGGTCCGCATGGTGGGGGCTCACTGTTTTTTTTCCGTCTCACTCAACTACCGGCTGTGCTTGTGTCACTTTTGAGAGTTCTCACAACTGATCCACGCACGCATAGCCAGCAGGTTGAGAGAAGGCATCTACTCCACACCTGCCCCCTGGTTCTTTCTTTTGTTTGTCCCCATGCTGAGGTCCACAGGTCCCATGTGCCGTTCGTTGCTTCCCCTCTCTCCCATTCCCTCTCTATCCCGTACCTTCTCCTCTGTGGTGTGGTGGCAGGACGAGGTGCACAGGCAGATGATGCTCACCAAGAGAGCCGAAACGAGGTCCCAGACCAAGGTAACGGCTCCAGGCTCCAATATATTATGCATACCTGTCGTGTTTTTTGCCGTAACAGGATTGAATTATGTATGGTACTTTGAGACGTCTCAAAATACCTACACAGAAAGATTGTAAACTGGACCGGACAAAGTCAAGTCACCTCCTTAGTCGAAACGTCTGCTGCCGCTCCATGTTTTCTTACCCCATCCCTCCCTACCCTACTGCCTACATCACACTCCTCGGAGCGCCTTGCTTGCCAGCATGAGTCACGAGCTGAGCTGCGCAACCCCATGGCGTCCATTTTGGACCTGCTGTCTGCGTTCATCTCACTCACTCCCCTCTCCCATTCCCTCACTTCCCACCTACGCCTCTCTTCCCCCCAGAGCGCCTTCCTGGCTTTTTTTTTAGTCGACTCAAAAAATAGAGCGCCTTCCTAGCCAGCATGAGCCATGAGCTGCGCGCCCCCATGGCAGCCATTCTACGCCTGTTGGACCTCGTGTTGTGTTGTGTGACGACCTGCTGCTGCCTGCTTGGTGTGGTCAGGTCAGGTCAGGTCAGGTCAGGTCAGGTCAGGTCAGGTCAGGTCAGGTCAGGTCAGGTCAGGTCCTCCTAAATTGCTGCTCTCGCATCTCTCTGCCACCAACCCTCCCCCCACCCCCTTTCTCCCTCAGAGCGCCATCCTTGCCAGCTTGAGTCACGAGCTGCGCACACCCATGCCAGCAATCTTAGGCCTGCTGGTCCTGGTGCTTCGACTCACTCCCCTCCTCACCCACCCCAATCCCTCTCCACCCCACTGCCCACGCTATATCCTCAGAGCGCCTTCCTAGCCAGCATGAGCCATGAGCTGCGCACACCCATGCCAGCAATCTTAGGCCTGCTGGTCCTGGTGCTTCGACTCACTCCCCTCCTCACCCACCCCAATCCCTCTCCACCCCACTGCCCACGCTATATCCTCAGAGCGCCTTCCTAGCCAGCATGAGCCATGAGCTGCGCACACCCATGCCAGCAATCTTAGGCCTGCTGGTCCTGGTTTTGTGTGAAGACCTGCTGCCTGCCTTCATCTCATTTCTTCCAACTCAATCCCCTCTCCCCCCGAACTCCCCTCACACCCTACCTACACCCATCCTTCCCTCAGAGCGCCTTCCTAGCCACCATGAGCCACGAGCTGCGCACACCCATGGCAGCCATCCTGGGCCTGCTCGACCTGGTGCTGTGCGAGGACCTGCTGCCTGCTTGGCTTGCTATGGTCTGGCCCTCCTAAAGTGCTGCTCTCTCGTCCCTCTGCCCCTAACCCCCCCCCTTCCCCCTCAGAGCGCCTTCCTAGCCAGCATGAGCCACGAGCTGCGCACGCCCATGGCGGCTATTCTGGGCCTGCTGGACCTGGTGTTGTGTGAGGACCTGCTGCCCGAGGTGCATGTGAACGTGCAGCAGATCAAACTGGCTGCAACGGCCCTGCTGGGGCTCCTCAATTCCATCCTCGACCTCAGCAAGGTCAGTTCTGATGTTCTGCCTTTCTTGGAAGCGACTCTAGTCAGAGCAGGGCTGCAGTGCACCTGGTGTTGCATTGCATGTGTTAGGACCTGCTGCCCGAGGTGCATGTGAACGTGCAGCAGATCAAGCTCGCCGCCACTGCCCTACTGGGTCTCCTCAATCTTAGCAAAGTCAGTGCTGTGCCGCTGGTATGTGTCTGTGCATGTGTATGTGCATGAGTGCATGAGTGCATGAGTGCATGTGTGCATGTGTGCATGTGTGCATGTGTGCATGTGTGCATGTGTGTATGCGCGTGTGTGATTCTTTGCTCACTGCTCTATGTTTGCTCACTGCTCTATGTTTGCTCACTGCTCTATGTTTGCTCACTGCTCTATGTTTGCTCACTGCTCTATGTTTGCTCACTGCTCTATGTTTGCTCACTGCTCTATGTTTGCTCACTGCTCTATGTTTGCTCACTGCTCTATGTTTGCTCACTGCTCTATGTTTGCTCACTCCACTATGTTTGCTCACTGCTCTATGTTTGCTCACTGCTCTATGTTTGCGCACCCAGCCTGCCATGGCTCACTGCTCACCACCCCATGTTTGTGGCATCCTGGTGGAAGCAGGTAGGCTGATGCTAGAGTGTGTTGACTTTGGCCTGTTGGCTGAGGGATAATGACTTTCAGTGTATGTGTGTTGAGAATTCTCGAACCAACTTGAGTGGAGGGGAGGGGGTGTGTATATATTGTGTGAGAGCGGGTGGAAGCGGGCAAGCTGGTGCAGGAGTGTGTTGACTTAGGCCTGTTTGTTGAGAGATATGTGACTCTGACTATGTGACTGTGACTATGTGACTCTCTCTCTGTTTGTGACTATGTGTACACTGTGGGGTGCGAGCAGGTGGAAGCGGGCAAGCTGGTGTTGGAGTGTGTTGACTTCGACATCCGAAAAGACCTCGAACTCATTGTGGAAATATTTTCAGTGCAGGTGAGACATTTTCAGGGCATGTGAGATATTTTCAGGGTGAGATCTTTTCAGGGCAGGTGAGAAAACTCTTAGGGCTTTAACAAAAGTCACGGAGATCTCTTCTGATCCAATGGACGATGTTATTCGCATGCTGCCATGCCACGTCAAGCCATCCCCTTCCCTCCTGCCCTCCCGCCCCTTGTCCCCTTTTCCTGCTCCCCAGGCTTTAACCAAAGGCACGGAGATCTCCCTGGACCTGTCGGACGATTTGACGCGCATGGCTGGAGGGGCGACCCACACCGCGTGCGGCAGGTGTTCGACAACCTGCTCTCCCCTCCTGCCCCCCTCTCCCCTGTCCCAGGCTTTAACCAAGGGCATGGAGATTTCTCTTGACCTGGCGACGATCTGACGCACATGGTGCCATGTCAAGCCACCCCTGGCCTCGTTCCTCTCTGTCCTCCTCCCCTCCTGCCCCTTGTCCTCCTCCTCCCCCTGTCCCCCCGTTCCAGGCTTTAACCAAGGGCACGGAGATTTCTCTAGACCTGTCGGACGATCTGACGCGCATGGTGAGGGGCGACCCGCACCGCGTGCGGCAGGTGTTCAACAACCTGCTCTCCAACTCCATCAAGTTCACCCCCAACGGCCACATCGTCATCCGCGCCTGGAACCGCGCTGCCCACCCTCACCAGCACACGCAGCAGCAGCAGCAGCAGCAGCACGGGCAGCAGCAGCAGGGGCAGTTGGGGTGGGCGGACGGGGAGCGGGCGGCGCTGCAAGGGGGAGGGTCTGGGGCGATGGAGGGGAGTCAGCACGGGGGAGGGGAGGCGGGTGTTGGGGAGGAGAAGGAGAGGGGGAAGGGGAAGGTGGAGCTTGTGTTTGAGTTGGAGGATACGGGGTGTGGTGTGCCCAAGGACAAGAGGGAGGCTATCTTTGAGACGTACGGCCAGGCGGACCAGGCGCACGGGCGGATCGGCACGGGTCTGGGCTTGGCCATCGTGCGATCGCTGGTCAGACCTGGGTCTAGGGTTCAGGGTTTGGTGTTGGGGTTTTGCATCAGGGTTCCGGACTTGTGTTGTGTGCTTGCGTACGGGGACGTGGACCAAGCGCACGGGCGGATCGGCATGGGGCTGGGCTTGGCAATCGTGCGATCACTGGTGAGGTTAGATCTTAGGGCTCAGGGTTTGGTGTTGGGGCTGGGTGTTGAGGTTTGGTGTCAGGGTTCGGTGTTGGAGTTTGGAGTAGGGTTTGCTGTAGAATTTGGTGTTAGTGTTCAGTGTTAGGGTTAGATATTGAGGTTTGGTGTTGGGATCTGATGTGGGGTTTGGTGTCAGAGTTTGGTGTTAGGGTTTGGTGTTACAGTTAGGGCCTGTATGCTGTTTCTGTTGCAGAAGAGAGGGGGACCAGACCAGGCACAATGGCGGATTGGCATGGGCCTGGGGCCTGAGGCCTGAGGCAATCTGGTCATTAGCTTCAACCTGGCCCCTCCCTCATGCCTCTCCGATGTCCCTGCCCTCCCCCCTCGCAGGTGGAGATGATGGGGGGCAAGATCGCTGTAGTGGACAAGCCCTCGCCCGGCCCCGGCTCCCTGTTCCGCTTCAACCTCTCGCTGGACCGCCCCGACCCCGCAGCAGCAGCGAAGCAGGCAGGGGGCGAGGCGGAGGAGCAGGAGAAGGAGAGCTGGCGCCTGGAGGCGCCTCTCATGCGCGCGCTGTGGGACGGGGATGTGCTGCTGGTGATGGGGGCGTGCCCGGGCAGGGAGGTGGCGGGGAAATGGTTGAGGCAGCGAGGACTGACTGTGGTGGAGGTGGGCGCGTGGGAGGAGATGGTGGACCGGATTCGCCAGGTGGGTGGTTGGTTGGGTGGTTTGAGTTGGTGTGGGTGTGTGAATAGCGCTGGGATGGTGTGTGGGTGATACTGGGATGGTGTGTGGGTGATACTGGGATGGTGTGTGGGTGATACTGGGATGGTGTGTGGGTGATACTGGGATGGTGTGTGGGTGATACTGGGATGGTGTGTGGGTGATACTGGGATGGTGTGTGGGTGATACTGGGATGGTGTGTGGGTGATACTGGGATGGTGTGTGGGTGATACTGGGATGGTGTGTGGTGGGGTATTTCCTCGAGTAGGAGTTTTTCTAGAATGGACGACCACCCTGGTGTGTGGACGACCACCCCCTGGTGTATACATGTGCAAAGCAACGTCCCTGGGCACACTCATACGAGCAATGTCACGAGCCAAGTTTAGCTTGTCCGAGTTTTTTCAGGGGAAACTCAAGCTCGTGACTCATCTCTTCTCTTGTCACGAGCTTTTTAAAAGCTTGTCCGAGCAGCTCGGCTCGTTGCCCTATACCAGCATGTACATGCCTAGTTTTGTAAACCTGCTGCCTAATAAGATACCCTGCAAACATCAAATAAATATACCCATATCCAGACCAGTTCTTTCGCCCTGGAGAGCGTTAATATTGGGTGGGGGGTCGCAAAGCTCGTTAACGCAACGAGTGCTCGGCAAGTTTTAAAAACTCGCCGAGCTAAACTCGCCTCGGCTCGGACGAGTGATTTTCACGGAAAATCAAACTCGTCACTCGCCCTCGAACGAATGCCTCGTACGAGCCGAGGCGAAAAACTCGCCTCATTGCACATGTATACCCTGGTGTGTGGACGACCACCCCCTGGTGTTTCATCAGGAAATGGACGACCACCCCCTGGTGTTTCATCAGGAAATGGACGACCACCCCCTGGTGTTTCATCCCCTTTCTTTCCATTTCTCATCTCCCGCACTTCTCCCTCCCTTCCCCCCCTCCCTCCCCTCGCAACGCAGGTAGCAACAGCAGCAGAGGAGAAGGCAAGGGCAACCGAGGCAGCATACGAGCGCATGAGGATGGACGACCCCTTTCTGCTCCTCCCATCCTTCCCCAACGCCAACCCTAACCCTAACCCTAATTCTGACGCCACTGCCGCCCAGCCTCTAAGCTCTGCCGATGCTTTCGCTGCCCTGCAAAGGTTCGGAGATCCGCCAGCAGGGGCAGCAGGTTCCGGAGAAGCAGGGAAGGAAGGTGCGGGGTCAGGTTCGGCGGCGCCCTGGCCGAGGGTCGGGGGACTGGGGGCAGGAGGAGGGGGAGGGGGAGGAGGGTTGGGGGGGGGACTGCGCAGGCAAACCAGTCTGGGGGTAGCTCTTGGGGGAGGGGGTGGATTAGGGGGAGCGTTGGGGGGAGGTTTGGCGGGAGGGGGGGGAGGCGGAGGGTTGATGGGCAGTGGAGGGGGAGGGCTGATGGGGGGAGGAGGGGTGGATTTGGAAAGCTTTAAGAAGGGTATTCTGTCGCTGGGCCTGCGGGATGCTGGTGGTAGTGCTGGGTCTCTGCTGTCGGCAGGTAGTGGGGGAGGTGGAACCGGGGGAGGTGGAGGGGGAGGAGGAGGAGGAGGAGGAGGAGGGAGTGGTGATGGTGCGAGGAATGGGTTAGGGAGTGAGATATTAGGAGCAGGGGCAGCAGCAGGAGGCGGAGGAGCAACGGCAGCAGGAGAGGCAGCAGCAGCAGGAGGAGCAGCAGCAGGGGAGAAGGGCAGCAGCAACGGCAGCGGTGTCGGTGAGATTCGCAGTGCAGGCAGCTCGCCCCTTCGGCTAGCCCGTATAGCCAGTGTGAGCAGCGGGCACAGGCGACAGAGCAGCCTGGAGCGAATCGGAGCACTCTTTGGTGGAGCAGGGGGAGGTAAGGATGCAGGAGGGGTAGGTCTGGCTGGATGGGAGGCGCCTGGTAGGAGTGGTCTAGCCAAGGAAGGGATGGGGAGTGGAGGAGAGGCAGAGGGAGGGGTGGGGGGAGGGGGGGCAGGCGGTGGAGCAGGAGGGGGAGTAGAAGGGGGAGTAGGAGGGGGAGTAGGAGGGGGGGCAGGAGGGGGAGTAGGAGGGGGGCCGAGGAGAGGACTGGAACGAACAGTGAGTTTGCAGTCTGACAAGAAGATTCTGGGAGGGGGAGGAGCAGCAGGGGGCGGTGCCGGTGGTGGGCTATGGAAGCAAGGAAGCCTGACTCTCGGGAAGGTGTTTCGGCGGGGCAGTGGGGGCAGTGATGCGAGCTCTGGGGGGGGCGGAGGGGGTATGGGTAGCAGCGGTGGCAGCGGCAGCAGCAGCAGCACGAGCGTGTGGCGGCAGAGTAGCATGGAAGGGCTTTTCTCGAATGCGTTCGTGCGTAACGACCGGAAAAGCAGCGGGTTTTCGAGCACCAACAGCGACGGCGACGATAACAGTAATATTAATATTAATAACGGTGATAATAGTAATCATGGGCAAAAACAGGCTACTGTAGCGCTCGTGGTGGTGGATACGTGTATGCTTCCGGGTTTGACCTTACCGTTACCGTCAGACAACAAGCAGCCCGGTGATTGGTCGGCACAGAACCCGCCGCCCCTGCCGTCGTCTGCTGCTGCTGCTGCTGCTGCTGCCACTGCTGCATCGGCAGCAGCAGGGCAAGCAGAGGCTCTAGGCACAGCTGCTGCTGCAACGACAGGGGCGGGAGTGGTGGGAGGGGTGGGCAGCGGAGGAGGAGGAGCGGGAGGGGGGAGCGGAGCAGGTGGAACAGCAGCAGGGGGAGCAGCTGGGGCGGGGGGAGGGACAGCGGCAGGAGCAGAGGCGGATCTGGGTCCTCTGAACGAGCTGCTAGCATTACTGGAGATCTGCAGGGCAGGAGGGGGCAATAGCTCTCTGCCTGTCATGTGGCTGGTTGCTGCTAACACGCCTGCCTCTGTGCGTGAGCGGTTGAGAGCGGCTGGGTGCGATACTATTGTGTCGAAGCCCCTGCATCCCACTAGGATGGAGCAGTTGCTGAATTTGGCTATGGATATTAAGTATGGGATTGGGGGGACTGCGGAGGGCGGGGTGGGAGGGGAGCGTGGGGGTGAGGAAGGGGAGGAGAGAGGGGGGGATGGGGAGGGAGAGGGGGATGGCGGGGGGAGTGAGGGAGGTGGAGGAGGGGGGGTGTGGGGAGTTCTGGACGAGTTGGGGAAGGAGAAGGGGAGGGAGAGAGGGAGGGAGAAGGGAGGGGGGAAGGGAGGAGGGAAGGAGGGGAAGGAGGGGAAGGAGGGGAAGGAGGGGAAGGAGGGGAAGGAGGGGAAGGGGCGCAAGAGTATAAATGTGAATGTGAGGATTCAGAGGTGCTTAAGTGCGGTGGATGAGGAGTTGAGCCATGCAGACGAGATGAGCAATGGAGACGACTCTTGCCTTTCCACCCCTGTTGGGAGTTCTGAATTTGATCTCGCTACCCCGAGGTCTGGTGATGGGGCGTGGGAAGGGAGAGAGGGGAGGGACAGGAGGGAGGGGAGAGACAGGAGGGAGGAGAGGGAAGGGAGGGTAGGAAGAAGTGGGGAAGAGGCGAGGGAGCGGAGAGACAGACCGAGCAATAGTGGTGATGATGAGAGTGATGGTGATGGGGAAAGAGGAGGTAGAGGAGAGAGAGGAGAAAGAGATGAGAGATGGGAGAGATGGGAGCGAAGGGAAAGGAGAGAAAGAGGGGAGAGAGGGGAAAGAGGAGAGAGGAGAGAAAGAGGGGAGGGAGGGGACGGTCAATACCGCTCGCAGAGGAGGCAGGAGGGTTGGCGTGGCAGAAGTGGCAGCGGCGGCAGTGGGGATGGCGAGGGAGCAGGGGACACACGAGGGGCAGGAGGAGCAATCACACCCAGAACGCCCCGGAACCTTCTCGTGCCCTTCCCTCGCTCGGAATCCCGCGGGTCTCAAGACGGGAGCAAAGGGGGCGGGCAGGAGGAGCAGCGGCGCGGATCCTTCCGAAAAGACTCGGTGGCTTCACTCTCACTCATCTCGCCTCGCTCCCCCTCGTCTCTCTCCTCCTCTTCTCCTTCCTTGGATCGCTCTGCTAGCGGACGGCTCTTGCCGGCCATTGACTCGCTCTTCTCCCCTCGCAAGCACTCTCAGTCTCACTCCCAGTCTCACTCGCAGTCGCATCGTGCCTCCTCCTCCTCGTCCTCTTCCTCTCGTGCTAAGCGTAGTGGCAGCGGCAGTGGCAGCAGAAGCAGGGAGAGGGGCGGAGGGGGTGGGAGTGCGTCGGGTGCATCGTCCCACCAGAAGGCCGTGCTGGGCCCGCCGTCAGCTCTCGCAGGTGAGGGGGGGTGTGTGTGCGTGTTATGTTTGTGAGTGCATCAGGGCCATTGTCCGACATACTCACACTACCAGGCTCTTACTACCCAACGGGCACTCAATGTGTGACTCCACGCCTCATACCCCCCACCGCCCACCACGTCACCCCTCGCTCCTGCCAGGTGTGCACATCCTATTGGCGGAGGACGTGGCGATGCTGCAGCGCGTGGCGGTGCTGATGCTGAAGAAGATGGGCGCCACGGTGGTGGCGGTGAGCAACGGTCAGGAGGCATTGGATGCGGTGACAAGGCAGGTCCGAGGGGAGGCGGAGGGTGGAGAGGCGTTTGACCTCGTGCTCATGGACTGCCAGGTGCGTCTTTGGCGGGGGTGAGAAAGGGTTGTGGAAGGGGAGGGGGAAGGGAGTATGCATTGCCAGGTGATTGACTGTATGTGGTGGTTGAGGTGGAGGGGGGAGAGGTGTTTGACCTCGTGCTCGTGGACTGTCAGGTGTAGGTGTGTGTGTGTGTGTGTGTGTGTGTGTGTGTGTGTGTGTGTGTGTGTGTGTGTGTGTGTGTGTGTGTGTGTGTGTGTGTGTGTGTGTGTGTGTGTGTGTGTGTGTGTGTGTGTGTGTGTGTGTGTGTGTGTGTGTGTGTGCCGGAGGGGGGGGAACCTTCCATTCCATGCGTGCGCACATTGGCTTATGAGGATGGGGTCATGCGAGTCGCTGTGTGTGTGTGCGCTCATAGACATCACACTCTCTCTCCTCCCCACCTTCCTCATCCACCTTCCCCAATGTATTCTCCTGGGCATCACACCCATAACCACCTGCCGCCCACCTGCCGCCCTCCTACCACCCACCTGCTGCCCACCTGCTGCCCACCTGCCGCCCACCTGCCCCCACTTCCTCCACACCCACCGCAGATGCCTGTGTTGGACGGGTACGCAGCAACGCAGGCAATCAGAGAGGTGGAGAGGGGTGCAGAGGTGCACATTCCGGTGGTGGCACTGACAGCCAATGCCATGGCAGGGGACCACCACAAGTGCCTCGATGCCGGCATGGATGGGTACCTCACTAAACCTATAGACAGCAAGCTACTGACGGAAACAGTGAAGAAGCTCTTAGGGGATCGGAGGAAGCGCAAGTGAGGAGGAATGTCCAGGGGAGGAGGGAGGTTAGTGGGGTGGTTGAATTTTTGAGTGCTTGTATCATTGTATGTATGCATGTGCTTCCGTGTGTATGAATTCATGTAACATGGATGTGTCCAGCACATGACTAAGGACTGCAGATAATTATGAACTGTCTGAAAGGCTCGCTTAGGTTATGAGTGGTGGTGGTGCTGCTGAACTTTCTCAGCTCATTTGTGTAATTTATGTCAGAATGTTCCTACAGAAATGAATGCTCCTATTACTTTCTATCTACTATGGCTTCATACGTATGTCTAGAAATGTAGCAATGCATACAGCGTGATTTAAAAGAAAAGGTTTTCAATAAACAAAACCGCATTAGCCCTAAGGGCATGTACGGTATTACTAAGGGAAAATATTTCTAAGTAACCAACATGGGACTCGATAACGAGAATGGTTATTAAGTAACGTGTACGGTCACTGTATCGGGTTTGCTGACGGGTTTGGTAAGTGGGGTCACGGATTCAGTCACTAACAACAGGTGAAAAATCACGCGAATGGTCACACATGTAACTCCCTCAAAAAAATCTTGAAACTCTACAAAATTCCCGCTCGCGCCCAACCAATCAGCTAATTTCTAAAAATACTTCAACCCAATCGGAATAGGATGCGGTTTGGGAACGGATCAACCCTAAACGCCTGGCGAGTTGTGTTTAGTGTTGATTCATCCGAAAATGCATCCAAGCTCGTTTTGGGTATTATCTTTTTTGGGCGGGAGTTTCATCTGTGACCATTTGCGTTATTTTTTTCCCAGTTGATTGTGATTGAATTAAAAAAGCTTGCTTTCTGGTTCTTGCAAGGCAACGTGCTTCATTTAAATTTGGTAATTACAACATTCTCGTCCCACTGAAATGTCAGAACATTATAGCTTTTACATTTGTGTAGGCTATAGTGGGGTAGCCCATAAAGGGTACAACCCAATTAGGGTTATACTTGTACCCAACTCTTTGCTAGTTCATTCATTCTCGTTCACAACATTCTACGGTAACATGGTTTCAGAGCAGGTCCCCTAGGACCGGTTTGTTTTTTGGGCCCACCACCTACTGCCCTGCTAGCCTAGGCCCGCGCCCGTTGCCCCTAGGCCCCGGCCCGTCGCCACCCCTAGCCTTGGCCCCGTCGACCCCGTCGCCCCTAGCTCGGCCCCTCGGCCCCGTTGGCCCCGTCGACCCCGTCGCCCCTAGCCGCGCCCCTCGGCCCCGTTGGCCCCGTCGACCCCGTCGTCCCTAGCCGCGCCCCGCGACCCCGTCGGTCCCGTCGCTTCTAGCCGCGCCCCTCGGCCCCTAGGCCCCTAGCGTCGGCCCCGTCGCCTCGGCCCCTTGGCCCCGTCGACCCCGTCGCCCCTAGCTCGGCCCCCCCCGTCGCCCCTAGCCGCGACCCCGTCGCCCCTAGCTTGGCCCCTCGGCCCCGTTGGCCCCGTCGACCCCGTCGTCCCTAGCCGCGCCCCGCGACCCCGTCGGCCCCGTCGATCCTAGCCGCGCCCCTCGGCCCCTAGGCCCCGTCGGCCCCGTCGCCACGGCCCCTTGACCCCGTCGACCCCGTCGCCCCTAGCTCGCCCCCCCCCCCCCCCGTCGCCCCTAGTCGCGACCCCGTCGACCCAGTCGCCCCTAGCTCGGCCCCTCGGCCCCGTCGCCTCGGCCCCTTGGCCCCGTCGACCCCGTCGCCCCTAGCCGCGCCCCGCGACCCCGTCGACCCCGTCGCCCCTAGCCGCGCCCCGCGACCCCGTCGGCCCCGTCGCTCCTAGCCGCGCCACTCGGCCCCGTCGGCCCCGTCGCCCCTACCTCGGCCCCTTGGCCCCGTCGACCCCGTCGCCCCTAGCTTGGCCCCTCGGCCCCGTTGGCCCCGTCGCCCCTAGCTCGGCCCCTCGGCCCCGTTGGCCCCGTCGCCCCTAGCTCGGCCCCTCCGCCCTAGGCCCCAGGCCCCTCGGCCCCTCGCTCCTTGGCACCTCGGCCCCTTGGCCCCTCGTGTTTGGCCCCTCGGCCCCTATCCCCTCGGCACCAAGGCCCCTCGGCCCCTCGCCCCTAGGCACCAAGGCCTCCCCTTGGCCCCTCGGCCCCTAGCCCCTCGGCCCCTTGGCCCCTCTCGTTTGGCCCCTCGGCCCCTCGCCCCTCGGCGCCCAGCGGCCTGTCACCCCTTGGACCCTCGACCCCTCGCCCCTAGGCACCATTGCCCCCCTTGGCCCCTTGGCCCCTCGTGTTTGGCCCCTCGGCCCCTAGGCCCCAGGCCCCTAAGACCCTTGACTACTACTGCTGCTACTGCTGCTCCTGCATACTGTGCCACTATGGCCTCGCTTCGAGTTCTCGCATTCGATCATGAGGGTCGACCGGTTCAGTTTGACACGTGGCTTGACCACCTGCAGCTGTACCTACTGAGCGATATTTAGGACGGTGTTTCCCTGTTTGACCACGTGTCCGGTGCCGCTACTGCCCCTCCCACCACAGCTGACAGTGCGACTCGCTCACAGTGGCTTTCTCGCGACGCTGCTGCCCGTTTAGCCATTCGCAACCACCTGCCGTTAGCCGAATGCGCTCACTTCGGAAAGCACAGGACCGCACAGGCACTGTACGACGTTGTCGTCGCTCGCTACTCCTCCCCTGCCACTGCTGCTCTAGGCCGCCTGCTTCTACCCTACCTGTTCCCCGAGCTGTCCGCCTTTGCCACAGTCGAGGACCTAGTTTCCCACCTTCGCGCTAGCGACGCTCGCTACCGCGCTGCCGTCCCTGCTGAGTTCCTTGACAAGAACCAGCCCCCGATATTCATCACCCTCTACTTCATAGTAACTTGCCTCCCTGACTCTCTTCGCTCTGTCAGGGACCACTTCCTCTCTCTTGACCCCACCTCCCTCACTGTTGACCTCCTCGAGCAGCATCTACTCGCAGCTGAGACTAGAGCAGTTGCTGTAGGTGCTGCTCGTGGCACTCCGCGCCCGCCCTTCTTTGAGGGGTGCTCCCCCTCCCCCCTTGCCCCCTCCTACGCCTCTGCTGCTGCTGCTGACGTCTCTGTTGCTGAGGACGTCGGGGCTGCTTCTGCTAGTGTGAAGCGCCGCAGCGGCAAGGGCAAGGGTGGCAAGGGTGGTGGAGGTGGCAGCGGCGGTGGTGGAGGTGGCAGCGGGAGCAGTGGTGGGGGCAGCAGTGGTGGTGGTGGCGGCGGTGGGACTGGTGGAGGGAGTGGGGGCTCTGGTGGCGGTGGTGGAGGCAGCGGTGGGAGTGGTGGCGGTGGCGACAGTGGGACTGGTGGTGGTGGGACTGGAGCTCAACGTGCTGGTTCTGGAGGTGGCCAGTGTCAGCAGCAGCAGCGTCAGCAGCAGCAGCGTCGGAGCGAGACCCAGTCGCCCCAGCAGCTTCATGAGTGGTTTTTGTGTGGGGCGTCTGGGGGTAGTTGCCCGTATGTCATTCGCACGGGTGACCGTGCTGGTCAGACTTGCGGGCGGCTTCACACTCAGCACCGCTGCTTCTCCCGCCTTGACGACGCGTGGCGTGCTGAGTTTGGTGACGACGTCAAGCTCCCTCGCTAGGCAGATCTGCTTAGGTCTAGGATTGCTATCTTTGACCTAGACTTTGATGCTATTCTTTCTGCTATGTATGCTTTGTCTGTTAGTGCTGATGGTGACTGTTACCGGTGTGTGCCGCCTGACCCAGGTATAGCTGCTGCTGCTCTAGGTGCTAGTGAGTCTGGTACTCTCCCTGGTACTGCGCCTGCTCAGGCCTTGCACATCTTCACGCTGGACTCAGGCGCCTCTGCCTGTTTCTTTTGTGACAGCACGACTCTCACTCCTCTCCCTACACCTGTCCCGGTCCGAATGGCTGACCCCTCTGGGGGCCCGGTCGTGGCCCGTTCCTCCACTGTCCTCCCGTGTCCGGCGGTTCCGTCCGGCTCACTGTCCGATCTTCACCTCCCCTCGTTCTCTGCGAACTTGGTGAGTACTGCTGCCCTCCAGGATGCGATGGTCACTACCACCACTCCTGGGGGCCAGCATGTGACGATATCTGCACGTGCACACGGACGGGGCGTCACCTGGCCACGTTCACTCATCGGCCAGGGTCAAGTTTGTACACACTCGCTACCGAGCCTCCTTAGGTAGCTGCGTCTGCTCAGGTGTCCGCGTCAGGTCAGGTAGCCGCCTCTTGCTCGTGTCGCCTCCTGTCGCACCAGACTCTTCTGTGGCACCACCGCCTGGGTCACCCCTCCCTGCCACGCCTTCGTGGCATGCACTCTCATCTTCTTGTCTCTGGTCTTCCCAGGTCCCTGCCTCCCCTGCCGCCCTCCCCTGCCCCGCCCTGCCTTCCTTGCGTTGAGAGGCGGCAGCGCGCCGCTCCTCACTCCTCCTCGTTTCCCCCGACGACTCCTCCCCTGCAGACTCTCCACATGGATGTGTGGGGCCCAGCCCGCGTCAGTGGACAGAGCCGCGAGCACTACTTTCTGCTGGTGGTTGACGACTACACGCGGTACACAACGGTCTTCCCCTTGAGCAGCAAGGGTCAGGTCGTTGATGTCTTGATCCCTTGGATCCGCACGGTCCGTCTCCAGCTCCGCGAGCGTTTCGGCCAGGACCTTGCTGTCCTACGTCTGCACTCTGACAGAGGTGGTGAGTTCTCCTCCAACCTCTTGTGGGACTTTTGTCGTGGGGAGGGCGTTCTCCAATTGTTCACGTTTCCGGACTCCCCTCAGCAAAATGGGATTGCTGAGCGCCGCATTGGCTTAGTCATGGAGGTCGCTCGTACCTCCATGATCCATGCGGCTGCTCCCCATTTTCTGTGGCTGTTTGCGGTCCGGTACGCTGCGCATCAGCTCAACCTCTGGCCCCGTGTCTCCTTGCCGGAGACCTCGCCCACACTGCGTTGGACGGGGGAGGTTGGCGATGCGTCGGTGTTCTAGGTCTGGGGATCTCGTGCCTTTGTTCGCGATACGTCCGCGGACAAGCTCTCGCCCCGTGCTATCCCCTGCGTCTTCCTTGGATTTGTCCC